CACTATACAGATTAAAACAAGCTGGTAGAAAATGGTATAAAACACTATCTAATATACTACTTAAATGCAGATTAATGAAATCCAAACATGATAACACTGTATTCTTTGCAAAGAAGAAAGAAATAACTGTAGCCATATTATTTGTACATGTCAACAATATTACTATTGTAGCAATGAATAATAATACTATTACAATGATAAAACAATCTATTACACGTCATTTACAATATACAGACAGTAGCAAATTACACTAGCTACTTGGTATAGAGATTCAACACAACAGAGAGTATAGATTCATCAGGATGTGTCAGACACATTATATTAATAGTATAATAGAATGTTACAAACTTACAAACGAACAAAGTGTACAAACACTCATGCAGCCTGGTACACAATTAAAAACAGTATTGCAAACCAATAACAATAGAGAACAAATGTCTGATATACCATACATGAACATGGTTGGTGCACTTAGATACATTGCAGACTGTATGTGGCCAGATATAGTATTTGCAACAAATCAGTTAGCTAAATACCTCAATGACCCTGGTATGGAGCATTATCTGGCACTTAAACATTGTTACATGTACTTAAAAACTATGAACAATGTCTGGCTCCAACTTGGCAGCACAAATCAATTAATATTGAATGGCTATACAGACACAGACAGTATGATGCAAGAAGGGCATCATGCAATATCAGGATATGCATTTTACTTGAGCAATTCATTAGTTTTGTGGTCAAGTAAAAGACAAACACTGGTGGCAAATTCAATGTATGAAGCTGAATTAATAGCTCTTGCAAGAGGAACACAGGAAGCAATCACACTTACTCATTTAGCTGAAGAGATTCTGCAGGTCTCTGATGCACCAATTAATATCTATTGTGATAACAATGCTGTTATACGAATGGTTACATCAGACAAACTCAAATATTCGGAACGAACGAAGCATTTAGATCATAAGAAAGATTTTATTAAATGCTACATTGAGTTAGAGTACATAAATGCAAAATACATACAGACAAACGATCAACAAGCAGATATATTAACTAAAGCACTACATGTACCACAAGTCAAACATCTTACCAGTTTACTCAGACTAGTAAGAGTTTGAAGGGGAGTATTATGAGATGATTAGTTCATCAACGGACAAACCACGAGACAATGACTTCATAATGTCTCAGTTAGAATACATACAATATAAGGACGAGAGACACTGAGCAGTCAATCATCTTCTCACCCCTTGTCTATGCGTGCCCCCCTTAAGTTCTCCCTCTCAACACCTAACAATTGCATTGCCAAATGATGGGCCACTATTGTATGAAGAACACTATGGACCACTACATGTTACCCACAAGGCTTCCTTGGATGATTGTAATGAAAGCCAGTCGGATCAGTCCTCCTTTCCAATGTCTATCATGAACTCTCTTTCTGCTCAATTCGACCATTGTATCAAAAGGGCCGAGGACTTAAAAGCAGTGGTAGAAGTATACTGTACTACATTGGCTCTTTATCCCAAGGGTCATCCTAATTGGTTGATGTTGTTAAACAACCTTGCAAACGCTTTGTCTGGTCTATTCAAGCATAACAGGAGTGTTGAAGATCTGGAAGAAGCAACCTCACTGTACTGTGCAGCTCTGGAAGCTTTTCCTGAAAGCCACCCCTCTCATTTGTCATCATTAATCAACCTTGCAAGCTCCACATTCACTCGATTCAGGCACAAAGGAAGGACTGAAGACCTTGAAAACGCGATTGTGCTGTATTGTGCAGTTTTAGGCACGTTCCCTGAAGGTCACCTTGATAGATTGCTGTTATTAAATGCCCTTGTGAATGCCATGGCAGTTAGATTCAAGCAGAATGGAATGTTTGATGATCTGGAAGAGTCAATCAAATTGTGCCATTCTGCTCTGACTCTTTGTCCTGAAGGCCATCCTGACAGGTCAGCCTTATTACTATAATCGATTTTGCAAACTCCCTGCTCACTCGGTTTGAGCACCATGGAGAGGCTGAGGATCTAGAAGAGGCAATTGTACTGTATTGTGCTGCTTTGGTCACTTTCCCTGAAGGTCACCCTGATTCAGTTCCATCACTAACTGTCCTTGTAAACACACTTCTCACTCGATTCGAGCAAGGCAGAATGATCGAAGACTTGAATCAATCAATCAAGATGCACTGTTCTTTCGGATGCCAAGGAATGACTGAAGACGTGGAGGAAGCAATTACACTGTACCAGGCTGTATCAACTTTGTCTCCTGATAATTATTCAGACGGATCATCATCATTAAGCAACCTTATAAACTCCTTACTTACTCGTTTCAAGGACAGTTCTGGTCTTTCTACCAAAAAGTAGATAACTGTTGTTCAATTCATTATTATTCACATATTTATTGTCTTGGTTTTCCCTCGTGTTCATTGTTTTAGTTTTACTGTCAAAATTGTAGACTGTTCTGTATCAGCTTACAATTTACCTTGCGTACAAATATTAACTGTTGAGCAGTACTGTGTGGAAGGAATAGAAATATTACTATGGTGAGCTACTCTATTATCAGTCGAGGTAAGATCAAAGTAGCAGTTAATTATCTTCTACTCTCCCTAGAGAGGGTTCGAAATGGCATGCCTATGCCTAGACCATATGTGTAATTCGACGATCTCCGGAGAACATCACTACGAACACAGGCAAAGTAGTGCGACTTTACAACAACCGATTCCGATAAGACTCTACGTCTCCCAACCAACGAAAAATTGAGCGGTGGATGGGGATCGAACAAGATGCAAGAATAGATATTATACGGAAGAAAATACGAGATGAAAGAAAGACAAATACGACTGAATCCTAAATCACTTCGAATCGTAATTATTGAATCTTTTGGCTCTTGAACTAAACGAATTAGAATCAGAAAAAGGTGAGCTCAAAGAGGAAGGTGCGGAAGAATGAATACGCACCACTGTGACGACTGTCCCATCTTTCAATGTCTCCTTCGTCGGGTACAGCTCATACCCGAATACCTTTGGCAGGATAATTCGCCATACGGCCCAATATAAGACTCCGCACGCGAGGATTCCGATGCCGACCAAGCAGTACCTAAATGCATCGAATTCATAAGACAGCGTTAGCAAGAGAAGATGCTGATACATACAGGTAGTATGGTAGAGGTGGTGTATCACCGACGCCATTAGATGGCTTTAGGTAAGGATCAATGATTACTGGAGACTACATAAGATACCATTTAAGGGCAAAATTCTAAGATACGACTCACAGAATACGGCTACAGCCATGAAGAATAGAGCAACGGGCCACCAGACTAGAATGACGGTCAATATTACTTTTCAGCCAACCTAAGGGTTAAGTTAGGAACGCACCTTTGAACGGTCTGACAGCGTTCGGCTTCTTCCAACGCAAATAAAAGAGGCCCTACAAGTGCGATTAGTTTGTTAGCACGGAGCCATGTTCATCCGGCGGTCAAGAGATATGAAAACATGACGTACAAAAACGATGAGTAAATTAATGATTTGCTGGGGGTATCCTTCGACGTTAAGTACAAAGGGATAGACGACATCTGGTGGAGGAGCGATAATGACGATAACCTATCGAGGTATGATCAATGAGCGTGTTCCATGCGAAAGAGAAATAATATGGAGCGCGGCAACGTACGGAAGGAATCAGGTGGACGATGAGTCCAGGGAACGGCGATTTCCCAGTTGGCCAGTTCGATGCCCAGAATTTGTTACCGAAGGGAAGAGGAATACCTTCTTTCGCAAGTTCTGGCGTGAAGAGAGAAGTTGAATCAGTATAATGATATGCTTTGTTACTAATACAATGAGATTTACCTTGGTTTACACGGGATTGAGCGAAAGTCTACATTGAATGAGTGAGCAGTGGTCTCGCAATAATTTGAGTAATTGCAGCATACCACTGTCATCACGTTCTTCATGGCACGTTAGGCATGGAAATGAACGAACAATCAAACAACTCACTCTAAGATCAACGGGGGGCAAGAATGACGATTTATTGTCAACAAAAACATGCAGCGGCCGGCATATATACTTACCCAAGTGCACTAGGAAAAGCCAAATGGGTCACAATGTAGAAGTTATTGGCGGATGTCTAACGCTTACCTCAAACCAACGAAAACAGTCAATGCTTTCTGGGCCTGTGCACCGAAGACCTTGTTGAAGAACAAAGAGGCAACCGTGACTTTGCTGGCCAGAATTTCCTCCTTAGACGCTGCTCTGTTAATTCCAAGTAATTGTAACATCGGGTCATTGGATAGATACAAACAAATAAAAAGACAGATGCTAACGCGAAGTATGCGATATTCGCAAATATATAAAATACTGCACAAAGCCCGAGACCTAGGGGTCCGGCGATCTTGAGAGTGCGTACGGGGTCCTTCACTTCGTTCAACACGTAGTTGATGTTCGACCACCCGGCATAGGCGTTGATGACTTTGAACATCGCGGTAGCATACTGTACAAAACGAAAGCGGTGTAAATTATTGCTTAAAGTGGAAACACAGGATAGAAGAAACCAGAAAGTAGAAAACGTACATCTCCACTGCTATGTGAGCTCCCGGCGAACGCATCCACGAAGTTCCGATGTGGGTCCGTAATGCGTGTCTTTCCGCCAAGGACGACCCAACCTTCGGAACATTACGTCTCAGCAAATGAAACTACAATCCTCCGGAACTAAATCCTTACCGGTAACAATGATGAATGCTAGGATGAAGACTTTGAACACACTTAGAGCCTAATGAAGAATCAGCGATGAACTCATTGCATAGACGAGAAGCTCACATTCATCAGCCAAAGACCGGCCTTCGGGGTGAAACCATGGATCAAAGTCACGAAGGTAATCACTACAGCGATAATAAGTCATCTTGAACATCGTTAAACAAGGAAATTTTCCACACTTACCGCCCAACGCGATACCTCTCGTGTTCCAGCGCGTAGCTTCTACTCCAGCGACAATCAGAATACTGTAGATAAATAAATTCAATCGGAGTTTCAAAAGCGATCAGCATCCGAATGAGGTCGTGCGCACTTATTTGCAAACACAATGCATCCGCTAGCCGTAAAGCCGAGTAGAATTGCCTGGGTGGCAAAGAAGACTGTTGCGAGACTTTTTGGCTTCTTGTACACGGCTTCAAGATAGACTTTTTCGCCCCCAGACCGCGGAAACATAGTTCCGAGTTCCAGCCAAACGAAGAGTCCGGAGAATGCCAGTAGGAATCCGAGCACCCAGAGCATTAGGGAGGCGCCTACCGAGTCCACCGAACCGAGAATAGAAGACGGTGTGGAGAAAATACCAGTTCCAATGATTCGTCCGATACTGGTGCAGATTCAATATCATGCAAAAATAGAAACGGGGACTTCGGCTCACATGAGCATCGTGCAACTAAAGACACCAAGATGTCGACCCAGTCCACCAGCAGCATCTGCACGTTAAAATTTAATCAAGAATTCTTGCGAATTAGTACTTCTGAAAGGACTAGCTACCCTCTTCAAATGAAAGAGCACCAGGATTTAACGTTGGATCCACTGCAGTGGTCTTCTCCTCACTAACAGGAGCAGCATATGTAGCGACTCCATGAACGTCCTTCTCGTGAGAGCTACCGAAAGATTCATGGTCGTCTGAGTTGCTCGGTTTCAGTCGATGAATCGCATCCTTGAAGGCGGCCATGATGGAGGGCACGCACAATGAGTGACAGACGGACCGGGAGGACGGGTGTCAAGCGTACAAGAGCGCTAGCGGATAAGACTCAAACTTATATAGGATCCACGAGAAGCACTGTAGAAGCAGTGGGTCCATGCCATCATTGAACGAAGCGTGCTTGATAGGCAGAGCTCGTAACATCTTCCGCAACACGCGCTGGTTCGTTGTTGCTGAGGCAATCCGGATCCCAGATAACGCAATTCACTCGTAACCTTCCTTTCTGCCACCCGTCGATTACTTTTACAACAAAAAATCACAGGGTCATTGCGGACTTTACTGTTATGTGCCTCAGAAATGTTGGGTTGCTTGCAGAAATCTGTCTGCCCGCAAATTTTGCTCTCACTTGGCGCAGCTTGAGTCCAGGCACATCTTGCTCGAAACGACCTACAAAGATAAGCCGGGAAAAAGATAGCAAGCACGTCTTTTGAGTTGAGTTGACGGCATCAAAAGCGAGGGAAAAACTTACGCTGCTACGCAGACTAATTTTAGACAAGGAATGGTATCACGTGCTCATTCTACAAACTTGATTACATCATGCTGCCACATTCCTCCTTGACTTGAAGTTCGATGACGACTATGGCAATCGTACAGGCCTGTCTTCATGCCTCTTCACTTCAAGAGGACTCCATCTGAGGAAGAGCGTCATGCTCGCAAGAAAGCAAAGAAAGCAAAGCGAGAAGACAAAGAGAGGAGGAAACGACACGCCCATGAAGATGAAGACGGTGCACAACGCAAACGGCATCGTTCACGTTCAAGAAGTCCAAAACGTAGAAGAAGAAAGTACTATAATGAACCGCCTTCTCCAGGAGATCCGGGTCCTTCTACTTCTGCCAATCGATCCACTTATGACGAGAAACATCAGTATGATTATTACGATGACCTTGAAGAAGAAGCGGCACGCGAGCGACTTGAACAGGAACGCTTCGAGGAGAAAATGCGCGATGCACTGGAAGATGACGGATTGTACGACTCCACTCAGCGTCTTGATGGTGTAGAAGCACGGCTCAACTCATACGCGCACATCCCACGTCGGTGGCGTGGGACGGATGAAGGCTTTAGTGCAGGATTATGGATGGAGGATGCACGAGAAGATATCGGTCTTGAAC